GGTAGACTTGAACGTGACGACAAGCGATGCGCTATTCATGGTGACCAGCATTTTGGAAATTTTCCCGGTTGCGCTATTCTGGAAAGACTCGAAATCCGGACGCCTAGACCATAAATAATAATAATATTATATGAATAATGTAAAGATCGGAACCACATACCGGCTAGGTTTGAAAATGGGTAATTGGGGTGCGAGTCAATTGGTTTTAAGCAAAATAATAATATTATTAACGTCTTCAATGAATACTCAACCACCTTTCGGAAGCTTCAGGAACCTTTTTCCGTTTATGGTGCTGAGCTAGCAGCAATCAACTTCGCATTGGGGATGATTTCCGACATGCCCATCAGTGATGGAAAAGTTCGCAAAAACTCACTATGACTCGCCAACTTTTCCCTTGGTGAACTTCGTGAAATATCGCGAACTTTTCCAACACTGATGCCCATAGACCACTACTTCATCTTCTCGGATAGTCTCAGTTCGATTGAGGCTATTCGGTCGATGATACAAGGTAAGCACTCATCTTACTTCCTTTCAAAGGTAAGGGAACAGATGAGTTTGCTGGTCGAAAGATCATATAGGATTACCTTTGTATGGGTCCCCTCACATTGCTTAATCCCAGGCAGTGAGAAGGCAGACTCTCTCGCAAGATGGGTGCACAACAAGGCGATTTTCATGATAGAAGTATTTCACATAATGCATTTTTCCCGTACTAATGGGAAGAGTTCTATTTTATGTTAGCAAAACGATTGGACAAGTAATTCTCTTGGGTGGTGGTTATATTCTATTATTCCAAATTTTACATCGAGAGCGTGGTTCAAAGGTCTGGATGTAAGTCGGGGCTTCATTCGCGTGATGTCAAGTCCTATGTCCAAACACTACTCGCTAGACGCACATCTCTACAGAATAAACCTCGTTGACAGCAATATATGTAGGTGGTATTACCCTGGTAATGACGCCTCCAGAGCACGACTGTTGGATACCCTAGTGGCCCGAGGTAGACAACCCTTCCGTGAAGTAAGAGATGTATTGGGAACCCGTGATCTTCGCTACATGCATGCGATCTACGAATTCCTTTGTTTGTCTGATGTTAGAGTTCGATGTGACTATCCCCTCCTTTGCAAACAATTTCCAGCCATTGTGTCCAAGTCTTATTATCCTCTTGTTTTTGTGCTACTTGCCTATACCCAGCCAGGATTTGATCAGCCGTCCGGGAGTAGTATCTGAAGGAGGCTTCAGAAACCAGTTTCCTACCTAACTCCTTCCAATCGAAATTGTTATCCATTAACCTCGAGCCCGCCACGAGTAATTGGTACCCAATACAAACCTAGAACTACTGCTGTTTAAAATGTAAATTCAAACATTACTGATTTTTGGCTCCGCAAAGTGTCACACACGACTGAGCCTAGTAAGTAAACGAACTAGTTAAAACAAAATTATTATTTATTATTATTATAATTATCTATTTTTTATCTTATTTTTTTTTTTGGCTTTCATCTTCTCGCTAATCTGAGTTGTAAGCTTCTACTCTGCTAGGTGCTTAAGAGCTCCAAGGAACAAGTCTCTTATAGTTCAAATAGGTGTCTTTGAGAAGAAATATTACTTTTTTGTTCTTTTTATAAGATAAATTCTTATTCATACAAGAGGTACGGAATATTTATAAAGCATAGTTATGCAACAATGACATGTTTTTAGGGCTTAAGTTCGATGTACAGAATGAGTTCGGATTTTGCAACATAACTTCTCAGTCGTAAATAAGAAACGTACTGTAGGAGCGACTGAGAAAGTTTAATTCTTCAAACAGCTCCAATTCTACTACTAATGCTGATAAATCAATACACATTAAAACCTGCCTTTAGAAATACTTTTCATAAAAGTGCGAACTAAATATAAAATTGGTGTAGAGGACAAAAACCTTTTTAATTTATGTTCTAAAAGTTCCGTTCAAGTTCCGCTAGAAGCTGCTTAGAACGCTATTCAATTATGGTACCGGAATTTTCAAGTTCTTATAACGACTTAAAAATGAGGCTGCTTAGAATTCTATAGACCCCCTTTAACCAAGCTGCTTAAGCCACAAATAGCCTTTTATCAGAACTTTTGGTTACTTGGGAACGTTACCCGCTGTAATGATTCATCTTGAAAACTGTTAGCAATGATTAAAAGCAGTATTTCACGAAAAGATTCAAGTTCTAACGATATGCATTACAATTAAAGCATTAAGTTCAAAAGCTCGAAACGATTGGATTACCATCAGTCAAGTTTTTCACTGAGATCCAGCAAAATAAAATGCCAAGCTGCTCGGTGGTGGCCATCTCAGCAAAAAATCTAAGTGTGTGTGTGTGTTTGCTACCTTGATAATCCATTCAGAGCTTTTCACAGGTTATCTTTGTAGTGTTCTCAAGAATTATCATGGAACCATTCGTCATTACAGTACTCTTTTCAGAATGCCTCTGAAATGAACAGGAGATTTTCTCTGATATTTCTTTGCCATTCTCTTTATAACAGTCCCTACATTCTTTGCATAACACTCCAAAAAATATTCGAATTCTCCCGAACATTCGCTTAGAATTTTTGATCAAAGAATTTACTGTTGCTTCCGTTCCTACTCTGAATACAACTAGTATGAACTCAAAATAGAATTCCCATGCAATGCACCAAAGCTTTGAAGAATTTCGTGAACAATGTCCTCCTCCATGAGAGTTTTATGAACTTTAAGATGTTCTTCAAGCTGAACTTTAAATGTGCCAGTTATATTGAAATACGTATGCATAGTAACGAAGACATCATATCAACAAGACTGGCAACTTTGCCAGAATCCAAGGGACAGGTACAGTAGTGCTGCGCTTGAGTGAAGGTGGAAGCAAAGCATAGAAGAATGAGCAAATACACAAACCTTTCTTCTGAGGATGTAATCTTTGCTATCAAAATCGGTCGAAGCATTTACCTTTGAGCGGCAGATGACACGATTGTACCTATCTCATAGCGTTCGCATGAGAAAAGTGACAGTCTTCTTGATTTGTTGTCTTCGATATTAATCAGATACGTAAATATATTCAACGTGTACTCATTTTCTGTTGAGAAGCCCTGAAGACTGCCTTCAGTAAGTCCTATTCCAAAATATAAGCTACTTTTCGATGCATTCTGAAAATGTTATTTCCAGCTACATAACAGTTGAATACATTTCTATAACTTTAGACAAATCTCGGTTGATAGAAATCCCAACCAGTACTCCACATCTGAGAAATTACCAAATCCAACAGAGCAATAGACCTGGCTTATTTTTCTATAAGTGGTATATTTCGAATCAGGTGGGGTGTGAATTGAGGGTATTAAATATAAAACATGCGATTCAACTGTAAATTAGAAAGCATTCTTGACGACAAATAAAAATGCATCCTTAAAAAGAAGAAAAAAAACTGTACTTCACCAGCAAACCAATAGAAAGCATCATTTGCCATTCAGGCACCAATAGATGTACTATGATACTCTCACCAAACCATAAGCCGAAGAAAAAAACCTTTTACCCACAACCGGTCAGCCGTCAGTCATTTGCCAGTAGCTTTTTCGAGCCATGGCCAACTGTTGTTGTCACCCGGTCAGCCTGGTCCGGTGCACTTTGGTACTTTTCGGTAAGTAAGTGCCTGCCTGTGCATATATATGTATACAGACCAAGAGAACCGCATACCCTGAACGTGCAGCGACACAACAACAAAGGATTTGCGTCTGTTTTGGATTGCAAAAACTGCTCCGGATGGAAAACACCCAAAATAGTAATCAGGCGAGCGAAGCGAACCATGCCCAAAGCTTTCCCATCCATCCATCCTTCGCCAGCCATCACGACCGACGAAGACGACAACGTTTCTCATCCTCAAAGCAAGAAATGAGCAACGACGCGACACGACGGGTGCCTGAATTGAATTTTGTCATTTTTGTCGTGTTGCATTAAAAATTTAAATTTGGCTGCATATTTTAATTCGATTGAGAGATTTTCCACACGTTCTACAGGGCCATCCTCGAGGTGGTGGCGGCTGCGGCAGCGCGGGTAGTTTGCTTTTGCAGTACACTTTTGGAACGTTTTTTGCCTGCCTTCCAAAAAGGAGACCGTGAAATTGTCAACCGGAGATGGGTAAGCATTAACCTTGGTGTCGCTTCCCAGGAGAGCTTGAACGCTTCGGACGAAGGTCGGTTTGAGCAAGCTCTTTCTTGAAGTACATTTTCGGAATACGGCAATATGTTTAAGTGGATTCGATCGATTTTCCACCCAAAACACTAGAAAATCAATAAAACCTCATTAAATTGATTCAATCATCAGTTAAGTGCCCAGGGAGCCCGTTTAGCAACAGATGGTCGCAGCACTAATAATATACCAAACCATGCAGACACAAAAACAAAACAACACTGACACTCTGGGGCACACATAAGGGTCAGCTGTTTATCAACCGAGAGGGCACACGACTACCTACTAGTCAATCGATTTTAATGAAAATCAATCAACTTTAATTTGCTGGCACCGCAGTTTTCCGTGCTGGCGGCGTTCCCCCCTAGAGAAGTGGCGTGGCCACCAGGTTTCGGTCAGTAGAAACCCCCTGTCCTCCCTTTCCCATGTTCAATCCTTTAGGGCACACCGGATGATTTATCGAGGCCCGCAACTTGTGCGGAAAGGTGCGAAATATAATTGCAAAATGGAATTGTTTTTCATTCATATGCATTTGGTAACCTTTTCCGAAGGCCTGCCAATAACGGTAAGGTTTATGTTTTGCCGTTCAGCTTGACAGCATTCGGACGTTGGTGGAATGTCACGGGAAATCGAAATTGATTTTCTTTTTTTTTTTTGCACTTGGATGAGAAACCACAATTCAATTAGGGGTCAATTGATTGGTTGGAAACACGTGGAGGGCCGTCAGAGACTCCCAACCTGCTGACAAAGACCACCGAGATGGTTCATCAAGGTCCCCCAGAGAAATATTCGAAGCAAAATGGATTACAAAACGTGTGCAACTTACCGTCTTTTGGTGGACTAGCGCAGGGAGGTGCGTAACTGCCTAAGTGATAACCAGAATAGGAATTCTGGTGCATGGGCGGGAAGGGATAACCTAGTGCACTTCGCGGACTCGGAAAGCCGGAGTCCTGTCCGCCCTGTGCACTGAAATGCTGGTACCCACTCCGGATGCCACCGTAGCTGAAATTCAAGAGAGAGAGAAAAGAAAAATATGAAAAACACGTCACAAATTAGCTTGAAATTAAGGTTATGTTTTTGGCTGGTTTGTTCAAGACGCACGATCGTCAAAAAAATCCAAATTAGAAGTAATTTCCTAGCGAAATAATTTCCCAACCAACAGCCGAAAAATGAATAATTTCCCCGCCGTAATAATTTAATTTCGGAGTAAAATGGCCTCCAATTTTCGAAGCCAAATCTTTGCATCTTTTCTGGTGGCATGCAGCAGCCAGAGAAAAACAACCACCCCCTAGCTTTGCCTGGAGACCACCAACCGCCATCTTCCTAGCCGAAAATCCAACAACGGAGAAACTGGGCCTTGTGCGATCGGGGTCTCACTATTTTTGCTGAATTTTGGGGAACGGGAGGGGATTTTTGGGGAAAATGCAACAAGCCAAGCAAAACAACTGCGTAGTAAATCAATCAACCGCTCCAGCTCCCCACCAGTCAGCCAGCGGTGGCAAAACCAAACAAATATGCATCCACACGTACGTGGGCAACAATTATTGGAAATAATTTCATCCGTTCCGAATCCGCGTGCAAATTGGAAAATCGATCGATGATTTGGCGCGCCTGGGAGGCGCGAGATTTGCGGTCGAACACACTTTTTTTTTTGGTTTCCACGGCTCACGGCGGATGCTGTTTTGGGGTCCATGGGAAATTGTTGCTGATCGAAGCAGGAAGTAGGAAAAACCGAAGGAAAACTTTCAGATTGGAGACGGCGGGCTTGCGTAGGAAACAGCTTAATAGTCAACCATTATCGGAGGTTGCGGGGAGGTCGTCGTAATTGGGACGATCTTTGAATAGTGTAGTGGGTTTTTTTATGCGCTTGTTAGATGTCGATCTAGCATGCGGTTTTCGACGTCATATATTGTAGTGGCTTGTCTGACTTTTTTCGATAAAAAAAACATTGAAGGATTTTTTAAGCTAAACCATATAAAAATAAACAACACCCAGTATTGGTGAGTCCTTTTGTTGCGATACATTAGAAGCGTTAAGAGCTTATTGTTGTGTATGGAGACCTCATACACAAAAATAGGCTTCTAACATAGAGGTAACTTTAAGACCAGAAGGTCCCGAAGAAACGTGCTCAACTTTTTGGCTCAGCTCTGGTACTATCTTCGGTCCCAAGCTAATAGATGCACCCCTCGAAACATAGGAAAATCCACGAACCCCTCATTTTAGCCGTCAAACTTTCAAAGCGTATCAAAACAAACATAGTGTAGTACTAGAATTTAGACTCGAATGGGCTATGTTAATCGATTTGCTTGGGACCAATAGGCTAGTCAAGTAGTGAGCCAATTTAAAATCATTAGTTTCCACCGGTTGCTTCTAATGCTTCTGCCCCGTAACGTGGGTAGATCACCTTTTCGTGGTACGTTACGGGATTTAAGATCTACCACCGATTCCTAGTCTTGATACTTCAAATTAGGGGAACAGGATTTTTCAGAAATCAAAGGAACACATCTTAGTCCTTGTTACTTTTTATGCTTTGTTGATAGTGACAATTCTCGGTTTTGTCCACCGATGATGAACTTGAAACATGGAAAAAAAATAGTTACACACTTAGAAATAACTACACCCTACGAAAATGCCATGTAAATTTAAGTTCCTGGAGACCGACACATGTAAGCGGCACTTTTGACATAAAAATCAGTTGAAAGAAACGAGAAAACCAATCCAATAAAACGATCTCTTCGTCGAGTTGCTTATGTTTTGGTTTGAGAATACTTAATTTTACATTAAATGTTTGTTTACGTTCCATGGTGTACGTCCAATATGGATTAAGTTTCGCGTAAAAGTAGTTATTTCTAAGTGTGTAGCTTAACACGTGACGGAGTCCATCTTTGACATAAAGGATCAGACGTAAACAAATATTTCGTAGCTCGACGAAAAACACCTTTGATTGAGTTGAATGAAGTGTCTGTTATGACTCAATTTTATGTCAAAATTGACGCTCGTATATGTCAGTATCAGAGCACCTAAATTTTCATGATTTTTTTCTAAGTGTGAAGTCTATGTGATTCCTAATCTTCTATTTGTTGTTCCTTAGTTTGAAGCGGCTTAGACTAGGGTTCTGAACTGATTATTTTTTTTATGTTATCGATTCACCGATTTAATCAATCACTTTGAATCGATCTTCTTGAATCGATCTTTTGAATCGATAGATTTTTCAAAATGGCACAACAATATTTCAAATATAACGGATCATAGGAAAGTTGGTGCAAATTAAGCCAAGTTCAAGTGATACTCTAAGGAAGCCTTAGCGTGAAACTTCAAAGGAACAAATGTCAGCTTCCACAAGACACACAAATTTGAAATTGCTACTCTCTGTTTGTAGTAGCACAGCAAACAAGGAGTAGCAATTTCAAATTTGTATGTTTTGTGGAATCCAATTTCTCATTTATTTTGCCTACACAAATTTTAATGAACAGCAGTGATGTATGTTACTCTCACAACATTCACTGCGTACGTACTACACAATTTATTTCTAAATGATATCAATCATCATCAATAGTCATTTAACAGGTGAAATGTGATAACAAGATAGCTTATGTAACGTAATATCAACTCTAGACTGAAGGTGATACTCTAAGGAAGCCTTAGCATGAAACTTTAAAGGCACAAATGTCAGTTTCCACAAAACATACAAATTTGAAATTGCTACTCCTTGTTTGCTGTGCTACTACAAACAGAGAGTAGCAATTTCAAATTTGTATGTTTTGTGGAAGCTGAAATTTGTGCCTTTGAAGTTTCACGCGAAGGCTTCCTTAGAGTATCTTAGGGTATTGATGTAAATGCATATTCGTAATCTGCATTAAAAGTGGAGCCTAAGCCCAAAGTTTTGGTACACTGGAACTATTTTAAATAAGTACGATTACATTTGCAAAAATCACCTCACTAGCGCCCCTCGGTGTCACTTTATATGGGAGCGAGCAGTCAGTTTGTTAGTTTAGTGTCAAACAGTGAAGTTAAATTTTTTTTTTTCAATCTTGATTTAAAAATCAAGATGAAAGCGTGTGGGTTCGAAAAAAAATATCACTGTACCCACACAGCAAAAAAATAATTTTAATATCACATCAAAGTGGATGCACTTCAATCGTGTCGAAAATATGGTGTAATATTACTTACCAAAAAGGACAAAATTATTATTAAAACAGTGCATGAACTGACATTACGCTGCTTTTACTGCATTTGTTTATTTTTGTGGCCATGAAAATAACATGAGATTTTCGACATGACTGAAGTGCATTTTATCCGACTTTAAGCATTTGATAGTGTAATAAAAATTAAGTAATTGCACGAGAAAACTCAAAATTAAAACATTATATGACTCACTCATTAGAATCATATATAAAATATGCCTGTTCAGTGAAATAGGTGTGCTGCATAAAACTATTGTATAGAATGCTTGAAAATAATCGTATAAATTTTATTAGACAAATAACGCTTAGTAACCGCTAGGCCCTCCATTGTTAAGTAGAACTTTGCTCAATCTTCTTGGCATTGACTCAACCAAGCACTGAAAAGATTCCTTTGGCATAGCATACCTCTCCTTTTAAACTGTGGCTCATAGTTGATCCTTATTGGAAAATGCTTGACCAGATAACTTCTTTTAAGCTCATTCCATAAATTTTCAATGTGGTTGATGTCAGGAGTTTGACTATGCCATGAAATAACCGACACTTTGTTTGCACGAAACCATTCCTTTACATACTTAAAAGTGTGTTTCGAATCGTTGTCTTGCTGAAAATGCCATATAAAAGGCATGTTCTCTTTTGCATAAGGGAGCATAACCTCCTCCATGATTTCTTTGTATTCAAATTTATATGGAAAATGGGACCTACTCCATACCAAGAAAAACAGCCCCAAACCATGATGCTACCACCTCCATGCTTTACGGTCTTTACCGTGAACCGCGGATCGAGCTCTTTACCGGATGGTCTGCGTGGGAATATAGTAAATGACAATTTTAATTTCATTTGACATGTGGAAGTTTTTTCTCAGGATTCTTGATAAGGTTAGAGATTTAACAGATTATAACATTCGTTTTATTGGTATTAAATAAACGATTTAAAAAACGAAAGATTAACATACGAAACAAAACAATTAGATGGTCGGAGTGTAAACGCAGGTAAGAACCGAAAATAACTTAATTCAGATATTCCAAAACTCAACACTTGTTACCATTCTTGATAAATAGTCTCGAGCAATGAGGATATACACTACGGATTTTCTCCCATCTTCGAAAAAGATCAACAGAACGTGGGAAAACAGGCTGATGCAAGAAATTTTGTAATTCTGCCGATATGCCCCCATGGCGATCCAGTTCTGACATAGCAGAGGACTGATGAACCTGAAATATGTCATAAGAAGTGAATGTTTGTACATATGTAGATTAATAATTTTCTTTACCATATCGTCATGAATATCCCACAGGCCGCCGGTTGGTTTTTGTGGCGGGACAGATGTATGCAATCATCGTATACACTGTCAGTACTATAGATCTGTTCAGACACAATTTCAACTGCCCGAGCGTGAGCAGAAGACTCTACTTCAGTGTTGGGAAAGTATCAAAAAATAAAATCTCACCAATGCCCAAGACCACGCTTGATTTTCGTAGACAAAAATCAACAAACAAGCAGCTGTGGTTGATTTTGCACGCTGTGATATCGCAGCTCGGAAAAGCAAGCTAACAAAACATACCAGCTGCAAATCTCAACAAACTGTGTTGAGATTGAGTTTCTTGATTTTTGCTGTACACCCGAACCCAATCGAAACTTCTATAATGGCTGTCAACAGTCCATTCGTGTCTGCCATCGGTGAATAGTAAAAAGAGATATCATACTACACTGGAGTCGCTTTTTACGCGGGTGATACGTCCCGCGTAAAAAAAAACCGCGTAAAAAAAAAACCGCGTAAATTCCGGAATCCGCGTAAAAAAAAACCGCGTAAATTCCGAA